GATTTTATAACTATCATTAATGTAGTGACCGATTATGACTTCAGAGGACTAATGGTAAAACATGCCTCCTATCTCTTGGCAGAGAGATGAAGGACTATATGTGTTGAATGAAGTATACATTTTCAGACTAGCTAATATGTTATTTTGTTTTTGGTTGACTATACTTAGTTATTACTAGGTATGGTTCTATTGGTGGATGGAGGTAGGGTAAAAAGCCCTTAAAAAGTGACAACACACACATACACACATACAAAAACAGAAGATCAATAAAATGTTTAAATTTTTAAAAATAGGTTGGCTAGGAGATAAAAGTTGAAGAGTGACTGGTCCTATAATTGAAAGAGAGAATGCATTCTCAATACCCCGTTACCTGTGGTAGGCTAACCAGTTTGTGAGCTAAAAGATTGGTGGAAGACAGGATGCAAATTTGGCTCTAATGAAAGATGGAACTCAATGTGCACACATTGCCAGATAAGTACAAGCAGATCAGTTAGAAGACCTCTTTTCTTTTCTCTCTTATCTTTTTCTTTTCTATATCCTGAACTTAAGCAATGCTAAATAAAATTATCATTTCCATACACACGGTAGAAAATTTTAAAAAGGATTATACATGAAAGCACAAATCTGTTTGTTATATACATGTTGCTTTTCTTCTTAGGTATATAACGAATTCAACATAAAACTTTCAAAACTATCCTGCTTATCTGTACTTTCTTTTGGCCTTCTTTCTGTGCTCTTCAATAAATGATCCAATGACCCTCTTTTACTTTTTTCTTTTTTTTTTTGACACTGTTTTATCTAGCCCCTTTTCCCTTCCTACTCCTCATACTAGTAGAAAAAAGAAAGAGAAAAAGAAAACCCTTGTAACAAATATACATAGTTAAGCAAAATAAATTCTCACATTGTCTGGGTCCAAAAATATATCACTCATTCTGCAACTTGAGTCTGTCATCTTGCTGCCAGGAAGTGGTAACATGCTTTCTCATTGGTCCTCTGGAATTGTGATTGGTTTTTGCATTGATCAGAGTTCTCAAGTCTTTCTAAATTGTTCTCCTTTCAATGTTATCATTATATAAACTGTTCTCCTGGTCCTGTTCATTTCATTCTGTATCAGTTTATACAAGTCTTTCCTAGTTTCTCTAAAAGCATCCCTTTTGTCATTTCTTATGGTACAATAATATTCCATTACATTCATGTATGATAATTTGTTCAGATATTCCTCCACTGATGGGTACCCCCTTAGTTTCCAGTTCTTTCCCATAACAAAAGGGCTACTATTAATATTTTTGTACATAGGGGCGCTTTTGTATATATTACTTCTTTTCCTCTTTCTTTGATTTCTTTGGGGCAGTTAACAAAGTCTATTTCACAGAATCACAAAAATCTAAGAGCTAGAAGAGATATCTGAGGACATCTAGTTGAATACTTGGGTTTTCATCCAAGATGGCCAGGGCCAAGTCCTTTAAAAATTATTCCAACACAGCTATTTTATTCTGACTTAGTCTCTCAAAGCAGCCAGCCAAGCAGGCAATAAGTAGCAAAGCGGAGACTTGAACCTTTGTCTTCTGACTTGAAATCCAGCTCCTATCTCTCTACCTTTTATTCCTCTCTATTCCTCTGTCCCTTCCTTTCTATTCCTTAATGTACAGGACTTCATTACCACCTTCATGGACTATTCCAAGAGCCTCTAACAGGTAGCCCAGTGCCTATATTCTTTTTGTTTTGTTTTGCAAGGCAATCGGGGTTAAGTGACTTGCCCAGGGTCACACAGCTAGTAAGTGTCAAGCATGCAAGGCCAGATTTGAACTCAGGTACTCCTGAGTCCAGGGCCCTTCATCTTCATTTTCCCTTCTAGCTACACATTTTTTCTCTCATCTTCATTTTCCCTTCCAGCTATACATTTTGACTCTAAAAGGGTATCAAAAGTATCCTTAAGGTCATTCCACATTGTTCAACAAGGTACTGAGTGCTGAGTCAAGGACCTTGGAAGGCTCTTTATGCCCCTGGAAAAAAAGTATGACTACAGTCAGGGCCCCTGATCCCAAGGACAACTTAAGCAAAAATTTGCTACCTTCATAGCTGTAATTACACTTGGAATCGTTAGGTTCTCAGAGACCTATCTCTTTAGTTCCATGGTCTCTGAAGCTGACTCCTATGGGGACCTTACACACAGCAAGTAGCTCTGTCATTAACAGTTAACATTTATTTTATCCAGAAATCCATAAGCATTTAAGCACCTATGACAATGAGTAGGATCTCAGAAATTGAAATTCTGTGGGAGAAGTCAGGCCAGGAACATGTCAGAAGCTCTTTAAAGTAAAGTTCTGAAGACCCTAAAAGGAACAATTCTGATGAGGAAAAGGGAAGGCTGTCTAAAGAGACCAATGCAGATGTGCAGGAAACTCACAGACCAGGCACAGTAGAGTATGGAAGTAAGGACAGGTAAAAGAGGACAAATACAATAGCCTACAATTTTTTTGTGAGTAGCATCCAAATAGTAGAGTGAAGAATGAATTGAAACTATTAAAGAAAGCTAAGAATAAGGTTTTTATGGAGGAAAAGAGGAGCAAAGGGGGCACAGAGCCCCCACTAGGGGCAGATGGGACTGTCATAAACGAAGGCAGAGAAAAGCCAGAGCTACTTGATTTTTATTCAGCTTCTTTTCTTTGTGAAGGAGAATGTTCTTTGAATTGAAAAGGACAGAACAACAATTTCTAGTAATGAGTTAATGCCAATGATGTGTAAGCATATGGGAGTGTGCTTACAAGTCACCTGGCCCAGATGACCTTCATCCTAGAGTACTTAAAGGACTGGGAGATGTAATTGCTAAACCACTAGCAGTAATTTTTTAAAAGATCTTAGAGAACAAGGGAGGTACCACCAGATTGGAGAATACATGTAATACTGAAGAAAATGGGGTCTGCAAGATGGGGACCACTGCATTTGGCTGATTCCTGGCAAAATTCTAAAACACATGATTAAAGGGAGGGTTAGCAAACATTTGGAAAAGAAAGTTTTGATGACAAAGAGCCAGTGTGGCTTCATTAAGAAGACGTCATTCCTAACTAACCATAATTCTTTTTATGACAGGTTGGTTAACTGGGAAATGAAGGCAATCCAACTTATGTTGCCTAGATTTTATCAATGCACCGGACAAAGTCTCTCATGCTTTTCTGGTGGACAAGATGGAAAGATGTTTGGCTAGAAGGCAAAAAAAAAAAATGGTTGGCTTAAAACTGGTCAGAAACAGAGAGTATCCATTTAGTGGCAACTTGAGAGGAGGTTTGCAGTATAGAGTGTTCCAAATATCTGTCTTTTTTGTCTTCTTAATTTAATATTTTTTATTAATCAATTTTTTATCAAAAATTTTATCAATTGATAAAATTTTTATCAATTTTTTATCAATAAGGATGTGCATCAGATTTTCAGATGATACAAATCCAGGAAAGATAGGTAACACATAAACTGATGGAGTCTGAATTCAAAAAGATCATAGGTCTAGAACTTTGGACTGCATCTAATAAGAAGAAATTTAATAGTGATAAATATAAAAAGTCAAACTTGGCCTCAAAAAGCCAACTTCAAAAGTATGAATGGAGGAAGCATTGCTAGTTAGTTAACCATTCATCTGAAAAAGAGCTAGAGTTTTAGGGGATAACAAGTTCAATATGAATCAATAATGTGAAATTATATGGCAACCAAGAAAGCTAATGTGATCTTGGATTTTATTAGGAGAGGCACGGCAGTCCAGGACTAGGGAGGTACCTGCTCTGCCATACTCTGTCCTGGTTGGACCACATATGGAGTATTGGGTTCCATTCTGGAACCACATCATCAGAAGGACATTGATAATTTGGAAAATGTCCAGGGAAGGAAAATCAGTATGATGAAGGACCTTCAAATACGTGCTTTATGAGAATTACTTGAAAGGAGGTTAGCTAGGAAAAGAAATGACTACATGTATGCTCATGGAAGAGGGGACAGGTCATGTTAGCTATCTTTAAGTATTTGAAAAATTGCCTTGTGGAAAAGGGATTAGCCTGTTGTGCTTGGAGCAATGAGTAGAAATTGCAGAGGGGTAAATTTGGGCTTGATAAGGAAAAACGTTCTAACAATTAGGAACTATAGAGACAGATCTCTTAGAACTTAACAACTCCAAGTGTAATTACAACTATGAAGGTAGTAAATTTTTGCTTGATAATTTCCATATAGCTATAACAATCATATTAGCTAACAACAGCCTAGGTGACCACTTCTCAGGAATGCTAGTATAGACGATATTCTCAGCCAGATGCACTCTATGGTCCCTTCCAATCCTGAAATTCTGTGAATCTGTGAAGACCTGGGTAGAGGGAGACATGGTGCCACTGTGTCTAAAAATTTGGCATTATCACCTACTGTTCAATATTTCTAGAATAGCACCGGGCTTTTCTGAATACTCTACTACTGACTTGGACCTTTTCTTGGGAAAGATATCCTTCAGTGTTCCTGTGTCTCCTGTCACTGGCTGACAGAGCTGTCAATCAGTGTCAGGCTCAAGAGCAAGGTTACAATAACCAGTTAAAACATTATTGCTCAGTCAACCAGCAAATTAACTTTAGTGGGGAAAAGAAAATGGAAAGGAATTGTAATCTTCCCTCTCTATTTTTATGTGTCCTACAATTTTTTCTGGGGCCTACTTAGTACTGTATAGCTCTGGAATGATATGACTCAAATTTGATTTCTTCTCTGCCTCTGTTCCCATTTATAGAATGGATGGGACTTTGGAGATAATCCACGACTATTCATTTTTTCTCCACCCCAAATGAGGGGTGTGCTGGAAGCAGTTCAGGAAAGCTGATCGTTAAATTTTCAGCACAAGCTTTTACAACTTGGAAATTAGCAAATGATGCAAATCACAGCTTGATTTATTGTTTTGTTGCTTGTCTAGAGTAATGAAGAAAATGAAGTAAGAGAGTAATAAAGAAAATGCTGATAATGCAGATCAAACTGTCTTTATAATGACACATGTATATGATGTATGTGTGTCACATGTACATTTTTTTTCCTCGGAGGTTGCTTAACATTTATCAGTACACACCTTTTCCGACTCTGCTGTTTCTTATGCTTTGGAGATGACTATATCCATTATGATCTCAAACCTTTAGTAGCTGGCAATGAGTGGTCAGCTTCAGTCTGCATCACCTGGCAAAGGAGGATTAAAGACATTCTATGTATCATTCAACAATCATAGAATCCCAGGATTTAGAATTCCAAGGCAACTTAGAGTCAAATTCTCTTGTTTCACCAACAAGGCCATGAGAAATGAAGTGTCTTGTCTAAGAGCCCACAAGTAGTAAATAACAGAACTAGAATTCAAACTGCAGCCTCCCGACTCTGAATCCCATGCCCTTTGCATGCATTTGTCTATGCTATCTACATGTTTCAAATGACGATAGTTTGCTTATTAATTTTTGGTGACTGCAGAGCATTGAGTAAACTAGATAAAGCTCCAGTTTGCTCTGTGCATGTCTGAAGGCCCCCATGACCTCATGCCTGAATTGTCACAATAGCCTGCTTGGTGGGCCCCACTCTCCCCACTCCAGTCCGTCCTCTATATGGTTGTCAAAGTGATATTCCTAATGTAGATCTGACCATACCTCCTCCCTTTTCAATAAACTCCAATGGTTCCCTATTGTCGCTAGGGTCAAATACAAAATCCTGTTTAGCTTTGAAAACCTGTCCTAACCTGGCACCTTCCTACCTTTCCAGTCTTCTTACACCTTCCAATACTCCCCCATTATATACTCTGTGATCCAGTGGCAGTGAGCTCCTTGCTGTTCCGCAAACCACACTCCATTTCCTACCTCCATACATTTTCTCTGGCTGTGCCTCATACCTGGAATTCTCTCCCTCCTTATCTGTAGCCCCTGCCTTCTCTGGCTTCTTTCCTAATTCTGCTTGATGTTAGGGCCTTCCTTCTGTAATCAGCTCCAATTTATCCTCTATGTATCTTGTTTGGACATAGTTGTTTTCAAATTGTCTTCCCATTTCCAGTGGGCTCAGCTCCTTGAGAGCAGGGACTTGCGTGTGCTGGGGGTTTGGTGTTTGTTTTTAGCCTTTTCTCATATCTTAGAACTTAGCACAGTGCCTGCCATATAGTAATCACTTTAAAAATGCTTGTAGACTGACTAGCATAATATAACTATTTCAAATGACTTTTTTCAGTAACATCACAGAATCAAAAATCACCCCCAGGCCTACTCAGCTCACTTCCTTACAATGCAGGGGTCAGCTTCCACATGAAGGATAAGGGAATATGCCCAAGATCAGATCAGACCAGTCAGGTCAGATTCCATCCCACAGCCCAGGTCACTACCACCATGTCCTCAGAGACTCATACTTGAATTTATTTTCATTGTATGCTTTGATTTCTCCCTCCTCAACACACACACACACATACACACACACACACACACACACACACACACACACACACACATACTCCAGAGGAGTTTATGAGGGGATCATACGTCTCCCCCACAATGGTAAGAATAAAGAAATCTTAGCTTTGAACAATCACAGTGCTTTGGGAACTATGCAGTTACCCATTTTGCTATAGAGACATTCATAAATATATAACTGTAGCTCTACAGACACACAAACATATATTTGGGACAGGGAGGGGTCTGGGGGGAGAAGAATTGAGAAAAAAGATGTTTCTAATTACAGTTGTTTCAAGCAGTAACTCAATGGCTCTGGAGAAAATAAACCACACATAAATAGTAGAAAACAGACCGCATCTTGTTTCCATGGCAACGCCCTACTTATATCACATTAAGCTGATTCATGTCTTTTCTCACCTCACTGTTAATAAATTATAGTGGCTGATGAGAATTAAGCCAGCTGGAAGAGTTGGCGAGGATAAGTAGCACATTAATTTGTCATCCATTCCTGGGGTGTCCCTTCAAAAAAAAAAAAGATAAAATTGGATGGTATCCTTCCTAAGAAAACAGTACCTTTGTTTCAATTAAAAATGAATATGTTAAAACATAGGTGGCTTTTCAGGCTTTGGTAATTGAGTTTCTCTCAGTGCTTTATATAGTTTATGACTATCCTGGAGAGAGAGTAAGGATGACAGAACGTAAGACAGACAGTTTGGGATGCTCTTTGTTTTCCCTTCCTCACTCTCTTAACCCCTACTTGCTACTCCAAGTTAGGAAGATCTTAAGCCTCCCTCATTCTCAGTGCAGCTGTCTTCATTAATTCTGAAGGGAAGTAGGGTGAACCCTGGTCAGTGCCAACAGATGGAGCAGGAATGCCAGAGTACGGTGAAGTTACAGCACTTCATCAGCCATTCAGGGTGGCGAGACATTATCTCCCCTCCCCCCCACACAACCTAATGAGTCCCACTTGCCCCCAACTTGAGCAGGAATGGAGATGGCTCATTCTTTGTTCTGGCAAAGCTGGGGGAGCAGCCATGAAGGCAGGAAAGGAGCAGATCTGGCTCTTTTTGCAGCATTTCCACCCATGAGGGAGTTGTGCTTAGGCAGGATATTTAAGCAGGAGAGGCAATGTAACCCCTTGCTGGTGGTATGTGTCATACTGTATACAATTACAAAGTTTACGATTTTGTTGATGAAGAAGTTTGGTATCTATTGAAGTGTTTGGATGAAGAGGAAAGAAGAGTGGTTGAAAGAGATCGGCTCTTTTCTAACTGTTCCCCTTCTCTCGCTGGGTGTGAGGGTCCCCCTCCCCCCAACCCCCCAGTCACTGTCCTTGGATCCGACCCACGGAGGAGGCTCACACAGAGCAAACGCCAAACAGAACAATAGAGGGAAAATTTTTGCCTGAGGGTCATTGCCTCCAAGGGAGCTTCCTCCAGCTTCACACCAAGCCCCAGGCTTTTTGTGGGATTATAGGTCCAACTTCATTTAATCATTCTCCTGCTTTGAGGAGTTATGGAATACAAAGCAACAAGATTTTCTTTCATTTTGCTCCAGCTCAGAGCCAAGAAAAATCCCAACAATTCCAACAGTCTATTTTCCCGGTCTCATTCTCACTCCAAACCACCATCATCTCTCTCTTTTACTCATTCCCAATAATGAAACACAAACAAATGAGAAATTGCTATGGTCAACCACACTTTTATGTAATATATATATATATATTAATAGTAATTGAACAGAAACAAAAACAAATTTTACAGACTAGCGCGGTGCCTAGTAAGTACCAAGTAAGCATTTAGCAAATGTGCTATTTATTTCTAATAGTCGAGCCATTGGATTTAACGTCAGGTTTCCCACATAAGGAGAGGGTAAGAGGGGCAGGCAAAAATCACTATCTAGAATCAGTTAGCTTGAATGGAAAATCAGCAATAATTGCTCTGCCCTGGCAGACCTCCTGTTTTGGTCTCTGGCTCTCTCTTAGCCTCTGCTGGCAGAGACAGCAGCAGTAGCAGAGCCCCAGTGGCTTCTCAGATACTTGTCTATCCCAGATCTTTCTCTCCAAATGCCCAAACTCTGACCTCACCTCTGTGCCCACTCTATCCCCATCCCCTCTACACAAACACACACATACACACACACACACACACACACACACACACACACAGACCCTTCAAGTTTAAGGAGAAGTCCTCAGGGCAAGAGAAAGTTAATCAGTGGATCCTTTTAATCATTGGACCAAAGCAAACTGAAGACTTACATTCTAGTCAGTAGGTTTCATCCTTAGGCTAGAGCTCCTTGTCTGAGGGGACAAATGGTGGGTTCGAGGTAATATGTGAAAAGGAGGAAGAGGTAGAAAGGATATATACAATGATGGTCTGGGATTCCCTGAGAATCTAGTCTCCTCTGTTCATGTTAGTAATCTGGTGTGCTGACTCTGGTAGGAAGTCTGCCAAAACTTTGGTAGAGTGTGTATGTGCTCCCCTCAAGGTGCCTGTGTCTGTGGGCCACTGACACACTGGAACCCGGACATAGTTCATATCATTTGGCCTGAGTCTGTGGTGACTTTGTTGTTGTTTGTCCTTTGTTTTCAAAGAAGACCAAAGACATCATGGCGTGATATCTTGACTGGTGCATGAATTGGATTTAAGTGAGGCAGAGTTGCCCAAAGTCATCAGCCTCACCCTCTCTTACAGAATCATTGAAGTCCAGGGGCAAGACAAAAGTCAAGATGACTGGTGATGGCCTAGGATGCAGAGGATAACCTTGGCATCTGATGTCTGACCAAGCTCTAAAGCTCTATAGCACTTGCTTCAGCTGCCTTCATGACATTGGACAAAATTACTCTCATCCACCATTCCATCAGGGGTGTCTTCACCTGCTTGGGGTAGACATCCCCTAACTCACAGACAGGTTTGAGGCCTCTTGGTTAGCTTCGACCTGGTTTAGCCCATCTACCAAAATGGTGTGGCCACTGAACATGCTACAGCTTCTTAGAGCCACAAGTTGAGAGTTGACTGCTAGGTAGACATCAAGGTGGATGAGAAGCCCTGAAAAGGGCTCAGCAAGCCCTCACAGCAGAGTGCTAGCCTCCCACCCATACACCTCAGATGACTTTGTACCCGGTTCAGAGTAGGCTGCCTGATTGTTAGCATCATACAAGACTATTTCTGCTACTAGAGCCTGCTTGATGGGAGCTATGGGAACTAGTAGCCTATGAATTCTGTTGGTATGGCCAAACTCCTTTCCTGCTTCCTGTTTTCTCTTTCTATCCACACCTTATTTATTGTGCCCAATGTATCTTTGTGTAAGACTTCCATTGAAATGTCCAGGTTTCTTTCTGTGAATTCAACTCTGAATGCTTTATTAGCAGTTTTCCAGGTTTTTGACAATTAATCCTGGGTTACTTTTCAGTCAAACTGAACTGTCTTTAGTTCTGACCGTTACATTTAATGAAAGACATTGACAGCTGGAGCATATACAGTACAGCGATTCTGTATGCACCGTGAGGGGACTGGGGACAATGCCATAGGAGGATAGGTTGAAGGAACTAGATGTTTAGACTAGAAAGAGAAGGTTAGAGGAGACATGATAGCTGCCTTCAAGGATTCAAAGAATTATTACAAGAAAGAAAGATTAAGCTGTTTTGCTTGGCCCCAGAGGGGCCAATGAGTAGAAGATTCTTACAGGAAGAGTTTAGCTTGGACATGGGAAATAGCTTCAAAATGTATGCATTTTTTCTTGGTTGGAAAACTTGGAAAGGAGGCTGAATGACCACTTTTTGAGGATGTCATAGAGGGGTATGGATTGAAACAGATGGCCTTGGAGCTCCCTCACAACACTAGGATTCTGTGATGTGTTGATAGGGAGCCTGCCCATGGAAATCTATTACAGTTCTCAAAGTGTGGTCTAACAATCTCTAGGAGTCCCTGAAACTTTTCAGTGGGATTCACTGGTCAAAGCTATTTTATAATAATACTAAGATTATGATAATACTAATAATAACATGTTATGATATACTATAAATACTATAATAATACTAATTTACCTCTTAAAATATTCCTCTCTTTTCCATCTACATATCTGTGTGAGGCCAGATTTTCATCATATACTTCGACCAGAACGACATGTCATAACATACTGAATGCCGTAGCAGTTATGAGAATCCAAAATGTCTTTTCTTAAGCCAGATATTAAAAAGATTTGCAAAAAAATATGTAAACAAGGTTATTCTCGTTAATTTTTTTGTTTTGGAAAATATTATTTTAATAAAAATAGTTGACTTACATGAGTTTATTATCATTTATAATGAGTTAGATATTTTTTAAATGTCAGTTTTAATTCTAATATGGTAAATGTTGATAGATAAAACTCACATAAACAACAGCTGTTTGAGGGCCTCACTAATTTTTAAGAATGTAAAGGGGTCCTGAGACCAAAAAGTTTGAGAACTGCTAATCTATTCAAAAACTCCTCATGTCAGGGTCTTCTTGCTCTTGGGGTAAGAGGCCTGCTTAACCTTTAGCTATTAATTAACTGAGAGACAGAGAGCTAAGGAAATTAAGATCATTTTTCTTACTCAACAATAATTGGCGTAGTCTTCTATTGCCAACCTCTAAATTACTTGGTATTCACTTTGTATCTAGTTCGTATTAATTACATATGTGAACATGTTGTTTTCTCTGATAGAATGTAAGCCCCTTGAGGGCAGGGACTTTTATTTTTGTCTTTGTATAATATTTGTAGATCAGGGTATGAGGTTAAAAGTAAAATCAAAAGGAAAAAAGTACTCCCTCATCTGGCTTCCACTTTGGGAATGTGGGTGTACCAGGTAGGACCAGCCACACCTTTTCTACTCCCACCTGACACTTTCTGCTTCCCAGGCACTGCTCTCTACTTCACATCTGAAGAGACCTCATGCTAGAGAGGTGGATGAATGAAAAAGGGCACCACAATAATCTGGCTACTGATAGCTGGCCTGGTCCCAGACAGCAAAATGGTGCTCTGACTTGTTTTAGCCTGAGGAGAAGGAAAATCCTAGATCCAGTTTAGTCCTGCCCTTTGGGAAATTCATCCAAAATTAATAAGTCAAAACATAAGATTTTTTCTTAATTTAGCTTCATTGTCAGCCAAGAGGAAGCTTGACACTTTTGGACCAAGTCGAGAACTTTGGTCCTTTCTGTGTTCTTGTATTCCAAAACCAAATGCTGATCCTCCCACCGACAACCCCTGCTCACCATTAAAGACAGACATGAATCAAACGAAGTTAAAGTAGGCCAGATTTTATCAGTAGTGAACTGGCTTTTGAAATACTGCATAAGACAGTAGATTAAAAAAGGAAGAAAAAGAAGAATTAGAAGAGGAAACAGAAACTCTGCATTATACATCTGTCCTCTTGGACATAAAGGGAAAAAAGCAGCTTCACTGACTATAATATACATATATATGTAGTTTTGCATTTTGTAAAGCTCTTTACAAATTATAATAATAGCTAACATTTATGTAGCACTTAATACATG